GACCTTCAGGCATAGATCAGGCAACCACAAACTTGAGCAGCATAACCTGCATCTACCCCTGGACAGAGGAAACCCCTGATCCCCCAGTAGCCTGTGTGCAGTGGCCACCAGGGGGCAGCAGAGGGTCATGCGGGAACATCACCTGGTGATGGGGTGGGTCTGGGCCAGAGACCCCATCTTCTCCTTGTCTGAAAGCTCCCTCTGCATAATGTCTACCTGGTCTATGTCTATTTCTCTCCTGGGGACAGCTGCTAAATTGTATTTTTCTGATTTTTCATTATGAGGCACAAAATATTTGCTTATTAACCTTATTCTGGTTTAATTCGGGTTTTTATTACTTGATACTATTCTCTGGCAACTAGAGACATTTTAATTATAATATGCAGTTGTACAAAGACTTCCTGGAGTTTATACCCCACTGGGACTTTCTTATAAACATCTCCATCAGCACAAGACCTGACCTTCGGTTTCTGCACACACTGGATATACTAAGACATAGCACCCAAGACCTACCCCAAGACTCACAACCAAATAGAGAAACAGCACTTAATGGAAAGTTATTTTCAGCATTGTGGATTCAACCCACGAGGTTTACACTGAAATGCAGTATTTTTTAATTATTGTATTATATTGTTTTTTGAGACAAGGTCTCTAGGTTTCGAATTGCCTAACTTGCACTGTTCTTGCCTCATCCTCTCAAGATGTTTGGATCACACACATGCATCCCTGTGCCTGCCTCAATTTAACACTCCTCTCTACAGTAAGAAGTGCTGCAGTCTGGGTAATATCTGAACCTATCTTGCTGTGATTCGTAAGGTAGATTCTACACTGAGTTCAATGATTAAACCTTAAATTGGAGCAAGGACTCTGCTGACATCTTGACTCTGCTAGGAAGCACTTATGGGCAGGATGTCCACACTGACTCAGGCCAAAACCACCTGCTTGAGGGCTAGGATTAAACACAAGAAAGTCCTGAACCTCATCAAAGTTGAATGTATGTCTTCCAGGTTACCTGCTAGGTTACCAGGATGGGACCACCCCCAGGCAGCACTTCAGGGAGCTTGGGAAACATCAGCTCCATTTCTGATCCCTGCATGACCAGAAGGCTGAGCAGCAATGACAGGACACAGGACAGTGTGGATGTCTGGGACCTGCCTATGCACTGACATGTGAAGGAGCGTGACGCAGGTGCAGGGTGTGTCTGCTGGGCCACTCCAACTGTCTCTGAGAATCTGAGCCTGAGCCCTGCTCTGGACCCCAGAAATCTCCTGCACTGAGCTGCGCTAATTTGCATAATGGGCAGTTCCCTCCAGCAAGGGCTTAAGACCAGCCTGAGGGAAGCCACCCCAAATTTCGCCTCAGGAAGGAGCAGCCGGTCACCTTCACCATGGCCTGGACCACGCTGTTCCTTGGCCTCCTTGCTCACTGCACAGGTGCTGCCCCAGGACCCTCACGCTCCCACCTAGGCCCGGGCTCATGCCAGCTCCAGCAGGGCTGAGTGTATGAGGGAAGGAGCTCCCATCCTCAGTCCCACATCTGCTTCTCTCTCCCTGCAGGCTCCGTGGCCTCCTACGTGCTGACACAGCCATCCTCAGTGTCAGTGACTCCAGGACAGACAGGCAGAATCACCTGTGAGGGAAATAACATTGGTAGTACTTATGTGCACTGGTACCAGCAGAAGGCCAGCCAGGCTCCAGCACTCGTCATCTATCAAGATAACAATCGGCCCTCCGGGATTCCTGACCGATTCTCTGGTGCCAACTCAGGCAACACGGCCACTCTGACCATCGCTGGTGCCCAGGCTGAGGACGAGGCTGACTACTACTGTCAGGTGTGGGGTGGTAGTACTAGTGCTTACAGTGACACAGGCACATGGGGAAGTGAGACAAAAACGCACCACCAGCCTTCATCCCACAGCCCCTCCCTCTCCTAGCAACATGACAGGACAGAGCCTACCACATAGAAAAAGTTTTTGCTCTTTCTTTCTCTGGCACTGAGATTCCTGAGATATGGGGTCAGGGAAGGACCTTGACCTATCTGGGCGCAGCTGATTCAATTGTTACTGAGACTGGACGTTTTGAGTGAGTTGAACTCCACTTTCCCTACGTCCAGAATCTGTCAGCCCAGCACTTTGTGTGTAGGCACCAGGGAGGAATAACTCTCAGTTGACGTCACCTCAGGGCCTCATCATAGGGAGATCTTTTCAAAATATTATGTTTGGGGATGTACACTTGAGTGGATTAACACAGGCTTTGCAAGGAAGGTAGATTTTAATCAGTCACCACTGTGACATCATAAAATAGGGTCAGAGGTGACAATGAGAAAGTTTGAAAGTGCTGATTTATTTACTAGCCAAATGATTTCCATGAGTGAAAACAATGTGCTTGCATGGAAAGATTTGTAGTGTTTTTCTTTCTTTTTTGGTGTATTTTAGGGAAGGGTCTACAGCATGTTCAGGGTCTCACTACTAGAGCAGACTCTTAGTGATCTGCCTGTTTACAGCCTCCCAAGAGCTGGGACTACAAGTACACCACCACCACACCCAGTCTTAATTGCCTTCTCAGTGTGCCCCAAGGGCGGGATCCAACCCCTAGCCTCCGCCCCTGCTTGCAGACACTTTAATCCACTGAGCTATTTGGCCGGTCCTAAGGGTTGTTTTCATAAAAGCTTAGATGCAAAAAAAGGTGACATTCACTGTTGCCAACCTCATCCTCCAAGGCATCAGTGTTGCTGATCTAATAGTGAAGGTGACACAAGTGGATTCAGTTCTCAGCACAAAAGATACACACTGCAGAATGATCCTGCCTGCAGGAGAGGGAGAAGTGTGTCTGAGTGTGTGTGTGTGTGTGTGTGTGTGTGTGTGTGTGTGTGTGTGATTTACAGAGGGAAACTGACATATACCTCCATGCTGTCTGGGAGGTGCTGGGGCAGCACAACTGTAACAGACCCAGTTACCCAGGTATAACATGACATGTGAGAGCCCCCTAAAATGATTACTTAGATGGGTATAGATGTGGAAATCTGACCGCCACCAAGTCTGAGTCATCCTGGGCAGGACCAAGGCTGACAAGGAGGTAGGCCTGGCCTCCCCTCCGTATTCCAGCAGCATCCCTGGGCTGCTCTGTCCACCTGCATGGTTCCCTTCACTCCCAGCATGCACAGCACCTCCTTCACCGCTGTGACGTCCACTCCCTCTGACCTTGCCCCAAGGCCTGCCCTCAGCATACCCAGGCCCTTTGCCCTGTTGCATGACAGGCACTGAGGAGGACATAAGACATGACCAGGAACTTTTAACCCTGCCCAGCAGCAGGAGGCCATGGGAGCATCACGGTAAACACCCTCTGAGCAATCAGCCTCCTACACAGCCAAGCAGGTGCCAGGAGATGGAAATGAGTTCTCTGAGGACTCACTCAGTTGCCCCTGAAGCAACTTCACAGGCATTCAGGCTCGAGACTGCATTCTAGCCTCACATAAGAACCTCTGAGGTCATCCTGGATGCCTTCTCTTTCCAAATCTCCTACCTCTTAAAAGTCCTTTATTACCTCATCCAGTTAGTATTGGCTGGCTCGTCCTTATTACTACCAGAAGTTTACAGTGAATGCGCAAAATGAAAATTAAAACGTGTACCAACTTGAAGGCTGATGGGTGAGTTCCAGCTATTCTTTTTACTTCACACATATCAAAGCATGTAAATTTCACAAGAACTGACTCACAAATTAAAAATGAAGGCAATGAAGAGAACAAAGCTGGATTTGTGCTGAATTTGTTCATTGTTTTTCATGTGAAATATAGATCATCCCACTTTTATAATGATTGGCATGAAGACCTGTTATCTGGAGGGTCAATGTGGACCTACGGCCCAATTGGACCTCCCAGAACATGAGCTCCAGACATTACCTCCTGAATCACAAGCTGTTAAGCTGCAAAAGAAGGATGGAGGCCTCATGCTGCATCTGAGCTGAACTTTAGTGCTGGAAAAGAGGCCTGGGGGACCCACTATGGCATCCCGCTTTTCCTCTACAATGGGCTCCTCTCACCCATCTGTTGCCATCAAGAGTTGCAGCCACTTAGTCTTGCTCACTAACCCCAGAGCCTCACTCTTCCTGGGATGATGCTGGAGGACAAGGAGCCGTGCTACACTGCAGGTATCACAGGAAGAACTCTACAGCATCTCTGACGGCCTGAACCGCTCTCCTGGTCTCTACCTCACAGTCTGCAGCAGTCTCGTACCCAGGCACTATCCACAGAATCTCCTCTCACAGGACACTATCCTGTTCCTGGCCCTGAGCTCAACCCTGAGAGTGCCGCTGGTTGGGGTCCCTGAGAATGAACCCTAGTATTCTAAACCTGCATTCCTGGGAGCCCTCTAAGACCTTGGAGTACTCAGTAGAGATGCCCAGGAGACATCTAACACCCTCATACTCAGGACACAGGAGAACAGTTCAGAGAGAAGTTCATAGAGAAGCAGGTGACAGTTCAGAGAGAAGCAGGTGACAGTTCTGAGAGAAGCAGCAGGTGCGAGGCCAGCCCTGCATTGCACAGCGTAGCAGCTTCCCATTCTTCACAGGATCTTCTGCTCTAACCTGGACCCAGTCCCAGGGGCACAACACCTACTGGCTAAGGAGGGCTCCTAGCGATGGCCAGGTCATAATGGAAAAGCAGTAGATTGGGGGGACACAAGCCCGTGCTTTCAGCCTGACACTTGCACTTTCTCCTCACAGTCCTGGTCCTGATGCCAAAGAGCCTAGGACCTGAATTCAGGACCCT